GATGTGAGAGCAAGTTCAAAGCCAGAATTCGCATCCAGAATTAAATGCAAAAATTTCTGCAGAGGTATGAAAATCTTAAATAATTCACTGATTTCTCTCACCTAATAAATAATTCTGTAATGGTACATTGTGAGGATTTCCTCAGCAGCAGAGCCTGCCAGCACACCTATCTCAGGAGTTCTACCCAGAGCAGCTTTCACAGCGCTCCCACGCTTGTCACAGTCTCGATTCTGTGGCAGAAGTGACAGCTTTGCTGTCCCTGATTGCTAGAGTGTGCTGCCACCAGTCACTCCTTTCCACACCATTCTCCCTAGATTTGTGCAGATTCCTTGGTACGGTACCTATGTTTATATTTAATTTAAGGGAATATTTGGTGCAAGTAAGTTTAAATGTATTTCCAAACCTGGATCTAGATTTATAGGACATCAGAAACAAATGTTTATTTGACAGGCAGCATGATACAAAGACAATTTTTCCCATAAAGTGAGATAAAATAAAACACAAGTACGAATTGAAAGAAAACCCCATAATCCTAGGAAACTAAAAATATTTTATTGGAAAAGATCTCATATATGAACTTTTAAAATAATCAAGTCATTTCATCACCAACAGGTAAGTAAATATTGCATCAAAGCAACAACTAAAGGTGCCTGGAAGAGAAGCAGGGGAAAAAAGAAGGGTAATTGTTTTCCTGGCAGCCAAAGAAGAAACCAGAGGCAGAATCAGAAAACATAAATTCTTCCATCTTAACTCTCTCTGGTTGTTCCTCTCGTCCATCCTTGAAAGACATTGAGGTACTGGAGCCTGTCCAAAGAAGAAGGAAGCTGGTGAGAGCACAAGTCCCATAAGGAAGAGCTGAGGGAACTGGGGTTGTTTAATCTGCAGAAAAGGAGGCTGAAGGGAGACCTTATCACTGTCTACAACTGCCTGAAAGGAGGTTGTAGCGAGGTGGGGGTCGGTCTCTTCTCCCTACTAACAAGTGACAGGACGAGGAAATGGCCTCAAGTTGTTACTAATAAGTGACAGGATGAGGAAATGGCCTCAAGTTGTGCCAGGGGTGGTTTAGACTAGATATTAGGAAATATTTCTTCACTGAAAGGGTTGTTGAGCATTGGAAGAGGCCGCCCAGGGAAGTGATTGAGTCACCATCCCCGGAGGTATTTAAAAGCCAAGTAGATGTGGTGCTGAGGGACATGGTTTAGTGTGGACTTAGCAGTGCTAGGTTAACAGTTGGTCTTGATGATCTTAAATGTCTTTTCCAACCTAAGTGATTCTATGGCCTTTAACAGGTGAAGTAGCATTAGTTCTTCAGCTAACAATATAAGTATTTTGTAATACCTACTTACTGAGCAAAAAGATTTATTAAAGTGTACATCACTTTGGACTTATATGGCCCTAGCTTCTTTGCAGTAGATATTTAAAACCAAGTGTTGCAGTTCTTCAGTATTTTTTTTTAACACAGATATATTTCTTAAGCCTTTCCAGGCACCTGTACAAAATGAGTTGATACAATCTGGCCAGAAAAGGAGAAGCAGTCCCTACATGCAGAGCATTTTTGAACAACACTTGTACCTCCATAGCCACTTTACTATTGGTATGATTCTATTCTATTTCTGATTTCTGCACAAGAAAAGCAACAAACTTTTATATCACTACTTTGATGCTAAAAGTAATTGTATAGCTGTATAGTTAAAAAATAAATACATTCGTTACTAAATCAAATATTTGTACCTGCCCCAATAAAATAAAAAAAAGAAGAGAGAAAACCAAAAGAAAAATCTTCAAAGCAAAATTAAAATCCACAAAATCCCACAATTGAAGTTCAGTTTATATTACACAGGTGTTATTTAAACATTACTGTTATTAATAAATTAGCTAAACTGCCATGTAATGGGGTTTACTTGATGAGCTTTGCTCTTGTGCTTGTATAGTGCTGTTGGTATGGATTGTATTTCATGGAGACAAAATGTAACAAGCCACCCTTTCTCAAATTAATTCCATCTAATGCAACATTTGTAAATTCACACATCCTGCTCCAGGATCAGGAGTATTAACCAAATGTTATGAAATGTATTTCCATGGCTTCATGGGCACCTATAAATGGTGCTCTACAATATTATTTGCATTTGTAAACACCAGATGTTTTTATGACAAAAATGGTTTGTCCACACAACTTACATTAAGGAAAGACAAAAGCAACTTGAGGTCACATATCCTGTTATCCAGGCATATGTACTGGTCTTGAAAACTTCCCTGTTTGTAGGGAAATATAACTGGTATGCAAGAGTAAAGTATCAACATTGCAAAAGGTATAAAAATGAAAGCCTGTAAGTACAGATTTTAATTTTTTTTTTTAAGAAAGCAGGAGAATCTGTGGTATGACCTTCGTAGTATCATCTTTTAAATAAAGCCTATCTTTTCCCCTTTTATTTTTCTCTTCCCATCAAAAAAAAACCCAACCTCTCATCAACTCCAATACAAGATCAGATTACAATCTACTGAATTTAACACTCACTCTTCTGAGCTAGCACTGGCAGCATAAATAAAGAATAGTTTACATTAAATATAAAAACAGTAGAAGCCCTGAATTACACCATAAAAGTTCATAATAAAAGGTGTGTCGTCAATAATAGCTAACAAAAAATGGCAGATATTTTCTATGCTTTATATTTGGAAGTATTCTTTCAACTTCCAGGAGGGCTGTATGGAATAGCGTTCCACTTAAAAAGCACAAAGTCTCAAGATGGGAAAGAAGCATTACGGTAAAATCTCACTATACTCCACGGTGGAGTTAGTGATCACATTTCTACACCAAAACAAACAAAAAAAAAAGGCCTCCCAAAAAATTTCCCCAACTGTCCAGAGATTAGGAAACCCAACCTGTCTTTCAACTTCACAGAAGCTGAAACTGAACTGAACGTGCCGTGAATAGCTTGATCAAGTCTGAATCACAGGTTTTAAAGAACTTGTGACTAAAATAGCTCCGTAAACTTGTGTTACAACTGGCACAAAAAGCCTGCCTCTCTCCCTACCTTTATCTGAAATCAAATTGTTTATCACATTCCTTCCTCATACATCAGCTCCTTGTGATGAAAGCAAGCCAGTGATTAATACTTTTTATTAGGTTGGTTCCAGTGACTTGAAATGAATTTGCCCTGACTCCTTAAGCATGCTTACCACACCCACTGCATGGCACTCCAGCCATGCTAGGAATGCACAATAGAAAAAAAAAATTAGCTTAGACGATACTTCATAAATGTACAGCAATAAAATTAGCTGCACGATGGTTTCAAGCACAAATTACCTTCAGGAGGTTCTTCCTCCCTCTCTCCAAAAGAAAAGAGGCAAACCAATAGCTTTAAAAATCTAGAGAAGGCATGTTCTCTTCTGTCACTTGCACTCTTTTCTGTGCTTTCCTATAGCTCATTAAGCAAAGTATACTGTGGCAGACAGAAATGGAAAGCAGTCCAAACTTTTTTTAATTTTGTAATTACAAAGTGACAAAATAAGAGGTTTCATCACAGCCTTTCTCACGTAGCTGTAATCTGTCTTCTATTACACCAGGATCACAGATTTTATCTAAATTTACAGACTGAATTCTCCGTGTATCCAAATGCAGTGTAAAACCAAAACATGCTAGATAAAGGATGGGAAGATTTGAATTAGCCTAGACAGTGTCTGACGGCAAACTATACTTAACAATTAACAATATCCTCTGTACTAATTACAACTTGTCTTGGCTTGAGTGATAGCTGCAATTTCTTTGCCTTTGGCATGACGGGAGCAAGATCAACTGCAATAAAAACAGCACCGACTTAAAAGTGATTCAGCACTGGATGTCTTATTTTTAATTACTGATTACCAACTGAGACTTGAGAACTGACTAGACACTCATACCTTGCCTTAACTGCAAGGAGTTGTTTGAACTCCTTTCACAGCCGTCTACAAAACGTCTCCATGAGGACACCTCACACCGAGTTCTCTATCAGGTTTATAGATTAGGGAGAGACCTATATTTCAAAGGTTTGTTGACACAACTGGATTCATCTGCATGCTTTCTTCTTGCCAATACAAGTAAAATTACATATGCGGAAAGTTTTTTCTTCAGATGGTGAGGTGTTTATGGTCTCTCCACTAAGGTTTGTCAGTCCCTCTCTGAGGGAAGCTAAGCAGAGATTTATATGAAAATAACTGATCGATCTCAGAATTAAACCAATAAACAGGGTTACCTAAGACAACCACTCTGACATGTTACCAGATCCTGCAGTATTATTCACAGTTAAAATGAAAAAACCTGCACAAACATCTTTACGTTCAGGATGGGTGCACAGGTGCATCCTGACAGTAAGATTTCAAACTTTCAACCGGATTTAGGCTTATTTTAAGCAATCTGTCATACATATTCTCACACCGGTGCGTTTATACTATTAAATTCGCAGGATCCCAAGGTGTCTGAGGTGTCCCGATGCTACCGGCCTTCAGGGCGACCTGGCCCTCGGGGCTCCTGGCCCCGGGGCTGCCGGACCCGCCTCCCCAGCGCTGTGAGAGGCGGCGGAGAGCGGGCTGGGGCTCCCGGGGGCGAGGGGGGCAGCCCAAGGCCAGGCCGGCCCCAGCGCAAGGGGGGAGAAAGGCGCTGAGGCGCCTGAGGAGAAGGCGGGGACCCGCGCTTCAACTCTGTGCGTACAAACCAGGCCCGGCTACTCCGGGGCAAAGGTTGCCGAGGCACATCCCACACCTGCTCCCGGGGAGAAAGGAGGAAAGAAAAAAATAAAAAAAAAAAAGACTTCCTTATCACACACCAGCC